CACACACACACAGACACACAGACACACACACACACACACACAAGCTTTCAGAGACACACGGCAAGAAAAGAACCAAGGAAGCAAGCATGTTCCCAGTTTACTATTGTAAAGCTGGGCCAGTTCATCGAAAGCATGGCCGAAGTTGGGCCTCGTTTCGCACAGAGGAAGACGTCGGATGAAGGGTGTGTGCGCCGGTGGGTCAATGATATGCCCATCACTCGAGAAGCATTCATTGTTTAGGCTTGTTAGTTTGCAGCTGTGGTTTTGGGGGAAAAGAAGGTACGGGGGGGGGAGGCATTTCTTCAATACTGTGGCTTTTGAGAGAGGGGAGGGGGGTTGTTTTCTTCAATGTTGGGGCCCTTCTGTCATTGGGATGATTGATCTGGTTGAGATGATTGACACATACCTGCTGCCAAAAGGGCAAACTGGCAAGGGGGACTTTTTGGAGGGCATCCTTTTAAACTGGCCCGAAAAATTAGGGGCGTCACATTACTTGTTGTCCCCATTAAAAATAGTAAAATACTAAACATAATACTGTTTAATACATATACTTCTTCGACTTTCAAGTTGTTTGCAAAATTTGTTAAGCGAAAAAAAAAAAAACCCTTAGACTCAACGTGTGGTGTAGGGTTAACCCTGAACCTCAAGGCTTTGGTCTTCTTAACCCGTTCTTTAGATTCCTTTTCTTTTTTCCTTGGGTTAACTATGCCTCGTCACGTTTTTTCAGTTCAAAAAATCCACTTCAGGCATCCCTCGAAATTCTCGAATACAACCCATCCCCACCCAATCCTTTTTTTTTTTTTTTTTTTTTTTTTTTTTCCATTTTTTTTTTTTTTTTTCCCCCTTTGTGCGGGCACTGCACAGTAATTCATGTGGTAATTAGTGTTTTTTTTTTTTTTTTTTTTTTTTCAGAACCTCTTGGTTCTGGCTCCTGCCATTGTGGGGAGCAACAGTCCGGTTCCTATTCCCCCGGCAAGTCAATGAATAGTACAAGATTGACTCACACTACGCTCCTCCCCATTAAGGTTGAGAATCCCCACCCAATCCTAACACTGGGTTGGATTCATTTCACGATTTTCCTGGCCTTGGAGCAAAATTCGCGAAACTGGGACTTAAATACATTCAAAAGTTGAATCAAAACTGAAAACCTTGAGTGGGCCCTAGTTTTCCCTTTTTCTTTTTAATCTCAACTGACCAACAGGCATTCCCTGATGCTCAGCGGAAATCGTTGTCCTGTTGTTTGTTTCTTTTTTTGAGGGGGCGTGCAAAATGGTAATTAATAATTATCATTATTATCTTCAATTTCTCTGTTGATGTTGGTATTTGGCATCATGACATACTAAGCAAATGGGCAAGGGGGGGGGGGGGGGGGGGGGGGGTATGCTTTAGGTAGGAACCGTCTGCCCCTGGGGAAAGGGGGGCAGAGGGTTGGTCCTATACTGGGGCGGAGGGTGAGCTGGAGGCTCGCCTTGGTGGAGGCAGGCAGTGTAGGGCTGAGTGGGGAGGGGTAGGGGGAGGGAGGGGTGATCTCTCACGAAGAATCCTAACATCCAGTTTAGTATTTTTTTCCATTTGGTTTGCCTCGAGGAGGTGGTAGGAATATTATGTGCTATCTGGCAAGTCATCTATGATCCTGCGAAGGGTGGTCGGAAATTTGGTGGCCCTCGAAGACTGATGCTGGAGCAGCTGTGATGCTGGCTGGAGCCAGAGCCAGGTGGCGCAACTCTGTGACCTAGGTTAATGGGGGCGTGAGGCCTGGTAGAGAGATCTTGGGGGGCTGTTTGCGGGGGCAGTCCGAGTGGTCATCGGGGGTCGTAACTGGAGCAATGATGGCCGGTGCTGGAGCAAGGTGGTGCAACTCTGTAACCTAGCTTGATGGGAGCATGAGGCCTGGAAGAGCTTCGGTTCATGCTGAAAACAGCCATCCTGGTGGTAGTTTTAGGTGGAGGCAGTACTCCTTTTCTTCATACTTCCCATACTTCCTGTTTTTGAACCATGTATCAGTAATACCTGATTGAGGGACGCTGGACCCGTTTTCCAGCAGGTGCAGCTCCCCACCAATAGACCGGAGCCAGTAGCTGAGCTGCTAGTGGTGGATGCTCATACCAACACCACTAGCAATCTCAGCCGGTTTCTTTAAAAAAGAAAAAAGAAAAAAAGAAAAAAAGTTTTAGGTGGATTGAATACGTTTTTAGTACTTCTTAGTACTTTTTACCTAATATCTGATTTATGGTTGGGAGGCTTTTTGACACACATATTCTAGTGACTTGGTAGAGTTTGGGTAGTCACTGTGGACCATGAATATTTCTGAGTTTTCTTCAATTGTTCTTAGCCGAAGCCGGGTAATGGCCCCCTGATAGCTCATTTTTTGTATTCTGATAAGGGACGCTGGGCCCGGTTCCCAGCCGTGTTGCTCCCCACGAATAGATTGGAGCATCGTCTCATTTAAAAAAAAGAAAAGGGATCTTCCTTCTCCTCCTCTCCTCCTCCCGTTTCCTTACCCCTCTCCTATCCCTTTGAATTCCTAGTTCTCTGTCCTTGCGCTGTTTCCACCTCCACCTCTTTCCCTGCTTCTGCACCCTCCTCCTCTTTCTTATCAGCTGGAAAAAAAGTGATTTTTTTATTTTCATTTTTAAATTTTTATCATTTTTTGCTTTTTCGTCTATGCTACTTGGGTATCCCAGTCGTGCAGCACAGCTGTGCACCCTTGGCAAGTCGCCTGGAGCTACCTTCTTCCTCCGAATACAACGTACAGTCATTATAGCTGTGTATTTAGACTGAAAGATACCCCAAATTCAGCTATACTGACCGTGCGTTGTATTCCGGGAAAGATTGTAGGTGTCTCGCCCTACAATTTTTTATTTCTTTTTTTCGCCCGTACAATTCGTAGTACTACCGTACTACGTGAGTAAAAAACTCGCGTCGTACTAAATTGTACGGTACCTGCGACTGAATTTATCGCGGGTTGTAGGGTCTTTAAAAAAAAAACATGCGGGTGTGGCCCCTGGTGCATACTTTTTTTTTTTTTTTTTTTTTAGTAACTGTCTTTTTATTAGGGCCCAGTGCCCAAGGCCAAAATTACAATGGTACAGGTTCCGTATTCAGGGGAAGTAAGGTCGCCAACCTTAGGTGGAGCCCCTCCCTAGTGACAGTTCAAGCAAAACAATAAACAAAGGGACAAAAAGAAAAGGAAGTAATAGAGGGAAATACGTGAAAAGCTACAGGGCGATGAAGGAGTACCAAAAAGGCTAGAAACCACTGACAGTGTCTCTTGAGCTGGCGTCTCGTCTCAGTGAACAGTCAGAGAGCGACTAAATGCTAATTTCCTAGCAAACAA